CACGCTTCTCTATGGTCTTTTGAATAGGCGTAGTTGTTTATCCTTTGTTTCCTGTTTAGGACTGGGTTTCCGGTTCCTTCTAAATTCTACTTCAACTCTATACTTCCAACGTCTCCGCCTGAACTCTGAAATTTATATTATTATTGTATTTAAGGTCCATTCTAAAATGTCTTTCACTTCCAGTGGCATTTTGCGTCTTAGTGGCGTTATCGCCTTGCTTGGGGTGAATTGATTAAAAAAATAATGAACAGTAGAGTATGCAACGGGAAACTACTGTGATGACTTTTCTAAAACAATTATGGCGATATGCAGATATTAAAGAAAATAAGTTCTTGAGGGACATAGGCATTTGAGGAGAAAAGCGTTGCCGTGGTAATCACGGCAGATGATTATGCTGATGAAGAGGAATAAAAGACTTCGAATGATGATGATGAAGATAATGATGACGATTCCTTTAGAGCAATAACTTTAATTTGGAAGTTATTCTAAAAGAAAAAGAATGATGGAAAAAGGAAAAGGAAAGGAAATAATTGCAACAATAATAATATGTATAGCGACTAAAAACATCACAATACGTTCATATGAAGAGTTTAAAAGAGAGAAAGCGACAAACAGACAGACGAAGTACGTGGGCAGAAAATGGGTTTGTCTGAATAGTTTGGAAACAAACGTCTGAGAAATATTAAGGGCCAATAGTAGTGAGGGGTGCGTCGGAATTGAACATTGTAAGCACATATAGGTCGGTTAAGAGAGGAAAAAAAACGAAGGGTCAGGTGTTGGGGTAGCGGGTGTCTTGAAATGGAGGTTAGTGATAAGGCGTAGAGAAAATGAAAGGGGTCACAGATGTTGGACACAAGAGGCTAAATTCCATAGCTTCTTTTCTATGAGACATTGATGATGATGATGATGATGGCGAGGAGGTGGATGATGATGATGATGATGATGATGATGATGATGATACTCAGACAAAAAAAGAAAGAGAGAGGGGGAAGAAAAGGAAAGAAGAAAAAAAAATGCTGTATCAGCATGACTAAATTTGGCATCAAAAATCACTTAAATCGACACAACAACCTCATGTGTCTCCACTTGACAAACGGACACCGACTTATAACACCTCGAGAAATGGTGTTTGTGCGCGTAGAAGACAACGAAAGTAGTTAATCAACCAATGCAGGACAGCCATTTGCAGCTTAGAGTGCAATTACAGGATGTTATAAGTAAAGAAACAGAAATCACATCACACACACATACACACACACACAAAAACACACAAATGCACACACTCACACAGGAAAACACACACACAGGCACACAAACACGCACAAACACGCACACAAACACGCACAAACACACACATAAACACACATAGACACACAAATACACAAATGCACACACAAACACACGCACAGACACTCACACAGGCACACAAACACACACACAGACACACAAACACACAACTACACACAGACACACAAACACACACATAAACACTCACACACAAACACACACGCTGACACGAAAACACGCACAAACATACACGCAGACACACAAACACAAATACACACGAACACACATCCTGACACGAAAACACGCACAAACATACACAGACACACAAACACAAATACACACAAACACACATCCTGACACGAAAACAGGCACAAAAATACACACAGACACACAAAGACAAATACACAAAAACACACACACACGCAGAAACACACACACACTGACACACAAACACACACACAGACACCCTATCACACACATACATACATATATATTTATTAATGTTTACCCAGTGCAAGGCCCAAGTGCCACTCAAGGTAGAGAGTTACTCTGTAGGAAAGAACAAACGTTAGAAGTATAGAGCCGAAGCAGAGTTGAGAAGGAACCGGAAACTGAATTGTAAGCAGTTACATTCCATTACCGCCAATCAGACCCCACCCCCGCCCGAACTAGCACCTGTCACGATGAACGGATGTTCCCTCAGAGAGGCTCTGTGCCATTTGAGAATATGAAGTCTCAAACTCACACCCGACTTCAAGTGGAACTCCTATAGACGATTCATCGCTAAAGATGAAGATAAAAATTGTTGACTCTCTGTGCCGTTCCACGATGTACCTGTCACCTCAAGCTAACTTCTACCGTTATAAGAGCCAGTTCAGGCCGAAAATGGAGTATTGTTGCCATATTTGGGCGGGAGCTGTCCAGTCCTCACTTTCCAGTCTTGATAGAGTTCAAAAGTGACTACGAGTCTTTGTTGGAGAAGAATTATTTTCCATTCCAACCTCTCTCTCTCCCTCTCTCTCTCTCTCCTTCTCTCTCTCTCCCTCTCTCTCTCTCTCTCCTTCTCTCTCTCTCCCTCTCTCTCTCCCTCTCTCTCTCTCTCTCCCCCCTCTCTCTCCCCCCCTCTCTCTCTCTCTCTCACGAGATGTGGCGAGCCTCGCACTGCTCTGTTGCTACTTGCATGGAAAGTGCTCGGACGAGCTAATTTCTTTGTTCAGCCAGAAGTAGCTAGGACCCGCCATGCCACTTACATATCACCCACATCCCCTCCCCCCATTTCATCGGCGAGAAGTAAGTTCCACTCGGACAGCTTCTTCTCGCGAAACAGTGCTCTGTGGAACCGACTCCAAGCAGGATGATTCCTCAGTCTTAACCTGTTCAATTCTAAAGTTAACCGTTATCGTCGCCTCCTATACATATAAACTACACCTTAACGTAACACTCTACCTCGAGTGGCCCCCGGGCCTTCTACAGGGTTAATCTTACTATAAAAGCAAAAACAAAAGAGAAAGAAGATTTGTTGTGATTATGTTAGTAGAGGTTAAAATATTTAACCAGCATCTATTATTATTATTATTATTATTATTATTATTATTATTATTATTTTCTTTGATTTCTGGCGTGTACACATTTCCCCTGACAAAAAAAAAAAAATATTACATAGATAAAGCCCTTCGTAAAGTGTGGGCTGTACTTGTCAGAGCATTTTTTGTATCTCTTCTTCTTCTTCTTCTTCTTCTTCTTCTTATTATTATTATTATTATTATTATTATTATTAATAATAATAATAATATTATCTTAACTAGAAAAGGTGATTTGTTATAGTCAAAAGCCTACTTTTTGATTGATGCAGTTGAATCATATCATAGCTGATTCAATAATTTTCATTGTAAATATAATAATCCGGTGAAAGAAAAATAATAATATAATATTATTGTATATTAGAGATTTTGACCAAATGGAAGGATAAGATTTTAAAAATCGGAATTTTCGGACACGCCTGTCTTTTCGCCACGAGAAATACTTTTTTAAAAATGAAAATTAAAATAGGATTTCATTTCCTGGAATTTATGTTTTCGACTGTGTTGAAGAAATCTGATAGTTTAGGGCCAGTTGTTTTTTAGTTTTATTTTTTTCGTTTACAACAGAACACCCAATATAATTCCCAAGAGCCACTCAAAGTAAAGAGTTAGGGTATGGCTTTATATTAGCGTAGGAAAGAGGCGTTAGGAGTATTAGAGCTGAAGCAGACATTTTAGAGAAAGAACTGAAAACCTAATTCTAAACAGGAAACAAGGAATTTGTTGCGATTAGGTTAATACAAGTCTTGTAAATGGCTTTTTGTGGAAACTATATTCTTTCTTTTAGCATAACTAAATTCCTACTTAATCCTAAATTGTGGGAATTTATTTAAAAAATGTATTTTAACTCGGACTTTTCAGCGTTCTTTTGACATTAAAAAATGAAGACACTAAAAGGACGCATCTAAAGTTATCAATACTATGCTCCGATATATATATATATATATATATATATATATATATATATATATATATATATAAATTTAATGAAAAATAGACCACTTTTAAGGTACCATTACAATAATTTATTTCACCAAAACCTTTTAAAGGACTCCGGATCATCAGGTAACAATTCCAACAATGAAATGAAAGGAAAATTGGGATTAGAAATTGATGGGTAGTGTAATTTTTGTAATTTATATATATATATATATATATATATATATATATATATATATATATATATAATAAATTAAAATGTTAATTCGTATGAAATTTCCAAGAGGATAAAGGTGCAAGGAGAGCTCTATGAGACTGCAAAATTATTAATTAATGAATATCAAACGCATAAAATAACAGGTAATAATCTTGATTTCATGAAATGTATAAAATAGCCTTCAATCTTTCAGACCTGAAAACCAAATATTCATTAAATATATATATATATATATATATATATATATATATACTATACTATGTTTGAAGAATTCAGATAAAAATGAAGAATTCGGAAGAGGAAGTCGAAGAAGAATTGGCGAGCGGTCGAGAAACAGAGACGGATGAACGCGGAACAGTGAGATAAACAGAGAAATCGCACACCATCATTTTTAATTCCACACTTAGCAGTTCAGTCGTTTATGTTAACTCTACCTACACACACACACCCACTAGATTGTAAAATGGAACTTGACCATCCATGCAAAATTTTCAAAAGGCAATGTGTGCACACCCATTAAAATGCGGACATAGAAACAGAAGCTACGAACTACACAGACATATATATATATATATATATATATATATATATATATATACAAAATAATAATATAGATATTAACAGACTTGCATAGAGAGGTAACTAAGATACTAATTGTTATGGTCCAATTTCCTTGTATCACGGTGATGGTCCAAGGTTAGAACCAATGAAAGAATAACACGAACACAGGTATGGAATACAAAGATATATTACAACAGAAATATAATACAAAAGAAGTAGAAGTATTAGTAATGACTCTCAGATTTGGTTAGAGTGAACTATGTTGTCTCGACAAGTATGACTATTCCAATGTCCTTACAATATGCTCTCAATTATCTATCCTCGTCTTACAATAATCCTCATACCTCTTGAGAGGCGCAGCATTTATAATGTCAGGTATAGTCCTTTATTATTATTATGGTTAAGTTCCCATAACACTAATGTAGATAGATAAATAGATAGATAATGAAAGATGACGAAGAGATTGAGATAGATAGATAGATAGATAGATAGATAGATAGATAGATAGATAGATAGATAGATAGATAATGAAGAGACTGAGATAGATAGATAGATAGATAGATAGATAGATAGATAGATAGATAGATAGATAGATAAGAAAACCATGCTATAAGTATTCAGGGCATCAACAATTAGAATAACGGCCAAGAAGGGGAATCTGTTATCTGGTCATTAGATCAGATTTGTAAAATGTCTCAATGCCAATGTAATAATATATATATATATATATATATATATATATATATATATATATATATATATATATATATATATATATAGTACCAAATCTATTACTGAAAGTGGTAATCATCAGGCGGAACTGAGTTGCGAATTTGGTATCATTACTGTATTTATATATACATAGATATATGAACACACAAACATACACACACACACAAACACACACACTCACACACTCACACACTCACACACAGACACACACACACACACATATATATATATATATATATATATATATATATATATATATGCTATGATTGTGTGTGTTTTTGTAAATTATTAAAAAAATCAAATTTAATGAATGGCTTTACTTTTTACAGATTCTTAAAAAAAAGTTCCACTATTTAAGAATGACACCGTAGTTGTTTTACTCCTCCAAGATTATCCTCATATAAATAAGTATATGGTGGCACTAAACAAATGGAAAGCGTTTGAACCTTTGTCATGGAAGTAGGCTTGCGATATTTTTGACTACAGAGGGTTTGGCTTATAATTACAAATATTAAAATCCCGAATGTCGAAATCCTAAAATTTAAAATCCCGAAATTTGAAATGTCGAATTTATAAAATCCGAGAGATCAAACCCCGATATTTAAAATCCTGAAAGGTCAGAATCCTGAAAAATAGTCTTTGGGAGAAATTGAAAAAAAAATAAAAAATAGAAATGCCTTCAATTCTAAATATTTGCACAAAATAGTTTTTATACATTTGAATCATTTAAAATGTATTATAAAGTATAAAAACCAGAATATGAATAATTTATAATGAAAAATTATGATCATCCGCTCTAAGATAGTCCATAAGATCAGGTCGTTAAATATATTTTTAAACCTTTCATCAAAATAAAACATAGCTTTTTTCTTTTTGAACAAGACACTCCTTGTAGCACATACCACATTTCAGAAATATAGACAGATACTGAAAGGCCGAAACGTTGTAATAAATATGGCGACAAAGATGAGGACAATAGTCCGAATAATGTAAATAGTGTAAATAATACCTCATTTCAGAAATATAGACAGATACTGAAAGGCCGAAACGTTGTAATAAATATGGTGACAAAGATGAGGACAATAGTCCGAATAATGTAAATAGTGTAAATAATACCTCATTTCAGAAATATAGACAGATACTGAAAGGCCGAAACGTTGTAATAAATATGGCGACAAAGATGAGGACAATAGTCCGAATAATGTAAATAGTGTACATAATACCTCATCTCAGAAATATAGACAGATACTGAAAAGCCGAAACGTTGTAATAAATATGGCGACAAAGATGAGGACAATAGTCCGAACAATGTAGTGTACGTAATACCTCATCTCAGAAATATAGACAGATTCCAATATTTACGTTCGTTTACGTTCGTTTTCTACGTGAAGCTGCTCTTTTTGATTAATTTTTAAATTTTTCAACAGCCTATGCTATATTTTGGTTTTATATTTTTAAATAAATTTTGAATTTTTCAAGTGTATAAACACTATTTAAACGCAATTTTGTAAATATTTAGAAATAAAAGTATTTCCATTTTTTTTTCAATTTCTCGCTAAGACTATTTTTCAGGATTCTGAAAATGAAATGGTACGTGAAACTTTTGAGGCTACGTATTACTCCAGGACAGAAAGTTAAAAGGTTAGAGAGGGCGAAGATCATCTTGAATAAGTTGGGAAATGATCTTGAAATAATGTATCTATATATGGACTTTATATCAATCTTTCATGAACTTCCGATCCTTAGCTAAATCAATGATGAACATGTTATTTTCGTTTATGATTGATTTCATCACGATTCTTCTGTTAAGGTGAGAGAGTAATTATACATTCTTAATGTTCAAAGTTGTGTCCAACAGTGTTATAAAAATCTAGGAAAATTCCAGTAAGATATCTTTAATCATTTCTAAGATACACCGGTTCAAATCTTAATGTAAGAATTGGACAATTTTGCTGTTACACGATTTGGACAATTTTGCTGTTACACCAAGTATATAATTTTTCCATAAGATCAAATTGGTTTTCACAATCTTTAACTATATTTTTAAACCTTTCAGCCCGATAAAAACACATTTTTGTTTTCTTTTTGGAGAAGACTCCCATCGCAGAATATGCACACATTCGTTGTCTACATACTGTTGTCTTTTTGAAACTCTCCAAGAATCCGATAAACGCCGACATAAACATTGCCTACTAAATTTTCCCATTACCTATGCTATATTTTGGTTTATATTTTTTAATAAATTTTGGATGTTGTCCCAGTGTCCACCCTGACCCGGGTTAGTAGCACATGTTAGAGACTATAGGCAAATAGTGTACTACGAAACAAACACCATATTTATAGTAAAAATACCAGAAATGTATTTTGTATAAAAATTACCGACAATACATATTTAAAATAAAATTAGCAGCAATACGCATTTACTAAAACATTGTATCAACTTCCTCCGAATCCGCTTAAAATACCACCAAACCTCACAACATATCCGATAATTTCTTAAATCAAGCTGTATTCCAAAATTTAACCTCATCTTTGTCGCCATATTTATTGCTACGTTTTGGCGGTTGTACACACCCGCCAACTTCAGGTTAAGTTCTTGGAGAGGGAATTAAGCAGGAGATAACTGATAACTGACACACATTTGACATGGCACGTGGAACTAGAACAGTCTACCCCAGTGAGCAAAATAAAGGGTTCGTTTCGACATTCCAACGACCTGAAGAAACGTTGTAATAAATATGGCGACAAAGATGAGGACAATAGTCCGAATAATGTAAATAGTGTACATAATACCACATTTCAGAAATATAGACAGATACTAAAAGGCCGAAACGTTGTAATAAATATGGCGACAAAGATGAGGACAATAGTCCGAATAATGTAAATAGTGTAAATAATACCTCATTTCAGAAATATAGACAGATACTGAAAGGCCGAAACGTTGTAATAAATATGGTGACAAAGATGAGGACAATAGTCCGAATAATGTAAATAGTGTAAATAATACCTCATTTCAGAAATATAGACAGATACTGAAAGGCCGAAACGTTGTAATAAATATGGCGACAATGATGAGGACAATAGTCCGAATAATGTAAATAGTGTACATAATACCTCATCTCAGAAATATAGACAGATACTGAAAAGCCGAAACGTTGTAATAAATATGGCGACAAAGATGAGGACAATAGTCCGAACAATGTAGTGTACGTAATACCTCATCTCAGAAATATAGACAGATTCCAATATTTAACTACAACAAAACTTCAACGTAAACACATATCATCGTCTCTAGCAATCACACAAACATATATGCACAAAAGCTGGGCACCTCGAGGCGGTATAATTGTTAGCTAGCTTGTCTCGCTAGAATTACGACTAGAGTAGTGAGTTCGATACTCACTGAGTACCTCCTACTTTCAGCCTTAGGCCACATGTAAGCTAGCCTTGGAAAATCACTGTATGCACAAAAGCTGAGTATCATCTACCATGTATTCAATTGTGAAAGCAGAATAACAGTTTTAGTTAAATTAAAAACTTAAATTTTGGTATTATATAACCCATAAAGGAGTTGATATGCCGTTAAACAGACAAATCAAAATCAATCTCACGTCTCTTGTCTTCAGTATATCTTGGGAGTGATTGGGCGGTGTAATGGTTAGCAAGCTTGTCTTGCTAGAACAATTACGACTGAATACCGCTTTCGGCTTTGTGTCACATCTAAGCTAGGCTTGTAAAATCAATATATCTTGGGAGTGATACATTCTCTTGGCCTTCTTTCGTGTCGTGGAAATTTCAGTTGAATAGATTCCCTTATTGTCTCCATTTGCTTTGTTCTGTTCATGTTGATCTTGGCTTTTATCAGTAACATCATATCTCTTCATCAAGTTTTCATCTGAGAGAAAATTGTCCAGTCGTCACTGACTAATAGAAGACAAGAACTGTCATGGCGTCTATCTATATTTATGAGGTATTCTGTTTTCACAATATCTGAAGTATTCTATTTCCACTATATTCATATTATACTGTTCATGAAAGATGAATAAAAGGAAGCTAAATTCGTGGATTAACAGTTTTTTTTTTCTTTTTATTCCTCCCCCCTAAGAAAACCAATAATGTCACAAAGATGCAAGGAGTTTCTGGGTGTGAAAGAATTGGAGAAAAATATTAAGATGCGAATATAATAAAAGAACGGGATTTGATAAGAGAAAAGATAACGATTGACTTTGTATTTACATTTTAGAAAATCAAAGTTGACATGTGTTGTAACCTAGAAAGGGTTACTGAATGAGGAATAACCAAAACGGATGTTAGAAATGAAATGGTAATCTTTATAACATCAACAAAATACAATACTCGCCAGCGGCGTGAAGTAGGTAAACCACTGCTAGTGGTGGACTACATAGACACCATATTACCTCCACTTACAATAGTGTCCCACGTATTTATGAGGATTGGGACATAGCCATTAGTGTTCATAGGTACGGTATATAACAATTGGAATGAGAATCCGGGTGCAAGTTCCAAAAACAAGATGTGTGAGAGAAGAAACATAGCATAGAACCTACGGTTACTTCTATTACAAATATAAGATAATGAAACAGAGGTGCTAATCAATTACTGCACTTAAATCTTATCAGAATAATTAACATGAATATATTTATGTAAAAATTATACGGAAACTATATTACGGCAGTGTGGAGAGAAACTGAAACTAATATGCCAGATCAGTCCCAATAAGATTGCGTATTAATCTTTGGTTTATATAAAGAATCTCTCAATGCATAGCGAAAGTAGCAGAACAGATGTGAACGAACGTGTCATTTGTTGCCGAGCAGTAGAGGAAGTTCGACGTGTTCGTGTTATACCGTTGGCGGGTAGAGAGATAGATAGATAGATAGATAGATAGATAGATAGATAGATAGATAGATAGAGTGTGTGATAGATAAATAGATGAATATATAGATAGATAGATATATAGATAGTTATAAATAGCATATATATATATATATATATATATATATATATATATATATATATATATGTAGATAGATAGATAGATAGATAGATAGATAGATAGACAGAAACAAACCTAGATGCATAGATAGATATGAACAACCTGAATTAGATAGATGTGAACAAAGCTAGATGGAAAGATGAATAGATATATATAGATAGATATGGACACACACACACACATACATATATATATATGTGTGTGTGTGTGTGTGTGCGTGTGTGTGTGTGTGTATAGATAGATAGGAACAGACTGAGATAGATAGATAGATAGATAGATAGATAGATAGATAGATATGAATAGCCAGGTATATTGATAGATAATTGCTAGCTAGCTAGCTAGATAGATAGATATGAACATTGAAATAAATATGAGCAGAATAAGATAGATAGATAGATAGATAGATAGATAGATAGATAGATATGCTTATTGTTCAAACTATTTTTACCACACGTGGTTTTCTCTATCTCCCATTTAATTTCGCTTCATTCTCATTCAAAACACATAAACACCTAAAAATAAACACATAAACACGCTCTTCATCTTGTAAAAGCCACTTGTTTGCGTATTTTTATGCTCATGCGTATTTATTTATATTGTGTGGTCACAGAATGATTCCTGAACAAAGGTTTTAATACAGGCACACTTTTAGTGGAAGGTAGGGAAAGGACGATAAGAAAAAAAAAAAAAAAAAAAAAAAAAAATGAATGGCGGGAAAAGCTGAATTGTCCGACCGATGAAATACAAGGCGACATTGTCCTCCGCTCAAATTGCATAGCAGACTGTTGTCCCCATTTTTGTATCGGAACAGCGTATCGGAAAGAGGAAGTCGTTTGTTCCTGGCCCGTCTTTGGAACCAGTAAGGAAGGCAAAGAATGGAAAAAGAATTAAGATCGGTTCCTTTATATGCTGCTTTTGTTAGACAAGGGGACAGTTGAGGAAAGATAGAGAAAGCAGAGTGAGGAGAAGCTGCGAACGATGGAAGAAGAAGAAGAAGAAGAAGAAGAAGAAGAAGAAGAAGAAGAAGAAGAAGAAAGCAAACGGAGAGAATGAAGACGAGAGTGTGCGATTGAGAAAGAAAGAGAAAGAGAGAAAGAGAAAAAGAAATGAAAGAAAGCTTAAAGTCAAAATAATGAATAATGGGGAAATGATTAGGTCTAGAGAAAGTAAAAATTTTAAAAATGAAGGTTAGCTCCTGTCTGTAAAGAAATCATTCAAGATACAATGAAACACACAGACACAGATACACACACAAACACACATAAACACACACACACACATATATTGATGCATGTTTCATTAAATAATATAGACAAGTTTTGTCTGTTTATTTTATGTAAATTCTTTTCGTATCGTCTGAGAAGCTTAATAACATTATCATTAAACGAAGAAAGAAAATCACAATATTGATACATATTTTTTAATCCTATCTAAGCTTTCGGCTAACATAAGCCATTATCAAAGATGACAATTACATTAAAATATATTAAGCAATACACGGACAAAACAATAATGATAGTCTGTTTATGTTTACATGAAAGATTTCCAAGCAACGACAAACTCGTGCATGCAAGACGCTGGAAGCGAAAATCACACCGTAGCTCATGACGTCACACATGACCACGCGAGAGTGAAAACGAGAAGTATTAAGTATGTGAAGCCGGTGTTATAAACCAATGACTTCTGTTATAAATTATAAGCATTTAAGAATATTTGTGGAGATTTATTTTGTTCAGATTAGGTTCCAACTGTTTTATGTATATAGCTTCAAGAATTTTTAGTTTTTGTTTATTGTTTTCATGTTTAAGTATAACTGTGTTTTCAACTAATCCATGAACAAAGTCAATGTAAACAAACTCAACGAACAATATTTACCTATTCCCAATCGTCCTGGGTATGACGATAAACTACATCCGGTAGCAAGCCCTCTGTTCAGGAGGTTTTGAGGAGCGTGGAACCAGGTCTACTCTCACCTGGGGTGATAGTACCTTTTAGGGCCCCAGCTATGGGAAAACAGTGAACCTTGATCTGGGGTTCGAAAACACAATGAAAGTATAAAAAATAGATTTTTATAGTAAAAATAATATCCATACATTTAAAAACAAATACATTTAACTCTCTACAAAATCCCTATTTACAAAAATACGTCAACGAAACCTGAGCTCCAAACAGATTTCTTACAAATCATGCATATTCTATACATACGAACCTATCCTAAAAATCTGGTCGGCATTAAATAATCCATTGATGTTGATATACCGTAAAATAAACAAAGCTAAACAAAACCTAATCCCAAGTCAAGTAAATGCTTACAAACTCATATATAAACGAACAATCTGAAAATTACTAAATATGGTAAGAAGTGAAAATTATGAGGATAAGGAGGATAGAAAACGATTGACTTGAAGAATGCAAAACGTGTAATATTCAGGGAATCATCAACGCAGAACTCTTTTCCCCCCAAATTCTTTTTCTGGGAAAGATGTCTGAATTGAATTTCCTCCATAGAATTGGAATTTAAAAAAATAATAATGTTCGCCCTGTCCAAGTCCCAAGTGCCACTAGAGCTAGAGGGATACAGAGTAAAAGATAAGGGTCACAGTTTATGAGGATATGTAGGGAAGACGACGGTTAAAACCTGGACTTGAGAAGATAACGCTTGAACAGGTTAAGATTGTAGTGATAGGGAAACATCATCTTGGGAGTCGGCTTCCACAAATTAGTGATTCGTGGGTAGAAGCTGTTCGAGTGGAATTTACATCTCACCAATGGAATACGAGGGGAATGAGGGTGGTTCACTACGATGGGTTTGGCATGGCGTGTTTTAACTTTGAAGGTTAGAACTGGTGAAAGTAAGGAAAGTAGTTCATTTAAACACTTTCCATGAAAATAGTGATAGAGTAGTGAGAGGCTTGAAGGGATAATAGCCGTGGGGGAAATGAGAGTGATTCGGCTCCGTGTACGTCGCAGTTCTTTCCAAGTTGTAAAAATCAAAACTGGTGGGAATAAAGAACATTTCATCAGAAAATTTCACGTGGAAATAGCGATAGATTTGCTATCTGTGGCATTCAGTTGAAGAGTGGAAAACATCGCCTAAATTATTTTGCACTATAGAAAGCGAGGATTGGCAACAGATTAAATGTGTCAGTTTGCTAATACAAATACAAATTCAAGGCCTTCCCACTCCTGTTAGAGGAACACATCTCTGGTTGAACTCCACGTCTTCCTATCTCTGACCATACTGGGTCATGTAAGGCCCATATATCAGGTTAAATCGTTGCGCCATCTTACCTTTGGCTGGCCTCTAGTTCTTTTCCACTATCAGATGTCCACTCTGCCGCTCTAATAGTCCATCTGTAGTCTCCCAGACGAGAGACGTGGGCAGTCTTATAATTCGTTTCTATTCCTTGGTGTCCACTCTGCCTATCTATGTTTGCCATTCTTGATGGACCCGATTATATCCTTCACTCTTTGGCTGATCTTAACCACTTCCTATTCCTAGCGATACTGGGCCATGATCTTTGCGCCATCTTGCCTTTGGCCACACTCTCGTCCGTTTCTACTCCCTTGGTGTCTACTTTGTCCACCTGTTGTCTCTGAAACGAGTGACGTGGCCAGTCAATCTATGTTCACCATTCCCGATTATATCCTTCACTCTGATCTTAACCACTTCCTATCTTTGGCAATACAGGGCCATTTGAAGCTGCGATATCAGACCCGATCGTCACGTCATCTTACCTTTAGCCGCGTTCTGGTTCTTTTCCACTGTCTTTGCGTCCACTCTGTCGCTCTAATACTCGAGACGAGAGACGTGGACAGTGGATATATGCTTATGCATATTATGTCTAATCTGCTGTTGAATCCAGGTGTTGATCTTGCTGTCACGTAAGGTGATGCCGCGCATGATTCGCTCTATTTTACGTTGGGCCATCGCAAGAGTCTCTTCAATGGTCGTAGGGAGCGTCCATGCTTTAATTCCATAATCCATTACCAGTAGAACATCATCATTAAACATTGTAGCAGTAATATGCATTTTTTGTTTGGTTTTTGTTTAAAAATGCTACGTGTTTATCAGAAAAGCCATGAAAAAGTCTTGAGAAATTACGAAATACTCTTTAGAAGTTGGGAGCCTTTTGCAATGCCATTGTATACTGATGCAATTTAAAAAATGCATAAAAATAAAAAATAAAAATAGATGAACAAAGGAATAAATAAAGATTACCAATCCAAGCAATGAATGAAAAACCAACGGTGATTGCAATGGCGTCGCTTTTGATACTCGCTGCATATTCTTCTGTTCTGAAAGAGGTTCCTCGGATTGCAGAAGGCAGTGCGGAAGTTTAACCCTCGCTTACCATTCACTATTTGTTGCAGCCGCCATTTTCGTTATTTTTGTCTTTTTTTTCTGCTGTATTGCCGCTCGCCCGTTCATTTTCCCGTTCCCGCCAAAATGTTCCGAGCGCGCTAAAATGTTCGAACGATCTCAATGCCTGAAAAGACGTTCAGATTCATTTGATTTTCTTTTAAATCTATTTTTGTTTAGCTTTAATTACAGCGAATGTACGCCGCGCCATTTCTTCCTCCGTTGCTATTGTTGCGTCGAAGAGACGATAGATGCAAGACAACAATATGGCCGGATATCGTTTGAAGGATAAGCGTTGAAAATA